TCCCCACCACCATTCCTGACCTGGCTCCTCTCCCCGCTCCCCTGTAAGTGGCAGGAAGGAGTACTAGGTTCACATTTGTGCACCAGGAAGGGCACCTACCAGCTTTGGGCACATTCCCTAACCTCTGGCCTGCGTTATGTACCTCAGCATAGAGGTAGGGACCAAATAAAATACGGGGTGGGCAAAAGTAGGTGTACAGTTGTAACAAGTAATACAATAAATAAATAATACAAGAACAAACTGTGTTTCATGTACTCACATCTGTAGACCTACTTTTGCCCACCCCTGTCTTTTTAATACCCAGCACTTAAAGACACTTTCCTCTGGGCCAGGCATCATCCTACTTAGAGGAAGCCCCATTTTATAGATTAAGCCACTGAGGCCCTGGGAGGGAGGTAACTTATTGCAAATCACACAGGCAGGAAGTGGCAGTGCCAGAGTCTGAGCAGGCTGTCTGCCTCCAGAGCTCACCTCTCACCAGTGGTACTCCATGAGATGATGTGTGTGTACACGTGCTATGTGTCACAGTCAGGTGTTAGGATGCCCAGTCCCTCCTCCCCTTCCCTGCCTCCCGGGCACCAAACCTGCGACCATGGCCTGGTAGACAGCGGCAGTGGCTGCAGCGAGGTAGGAGGGCTCTGAGGAGGGGGGCTGCATCTCATTGAACGTGTCGGCCCCGTAGATGTGATCTGTGCCAAACTCCTTGGTCAGCTCCCGCAGGAAGAGGCTCCCCACGACAGGGAACAGGGCGTCTTCGGGAGCCAGAAGGAAGGAGCAGGAGTAGGAGCAGTTGAAGTGTCCCCAGCTGCCCATCTGGGTGACATTGACCTGGGGGAACACCCTAGTTGGGGGTGGGAACAGTCCAGACATTTAGTGGAGGCTGACACAGTCATTGCCAGTTTCATTAACTTATCTGCAACTCCTGGACCTCATCCTGGTCTCTCACGCCTCCGTGCCTTTGCACATACTGTGCCCTGTACCTGGAGTTCTTCCTCCTCTCTCCCTGCTCATCCAGCTGGTTACTCCTTGACATCCTCTAAGTTTCACCCAGTTTGGAAAACTCTTGCTATCTCCCCTCCCCCTGGTTGAAACAAACAACATTCACTTTTCAAGGTCTGGCCCGGTACTGCCTCTCCCAGAGTCCCTGCGGCTCCTCTTCCCCAGGCAGAAGTGACCTTGACGGAGAAGTGGGCCCTATCACTGTATTATAACCCCTTGCCAACCTATCCCCCACCAGGGACAGGAACTCAGTGCACTGTTGTCGCTGCCTCCCAAGGCCCAGCAGAGCCTGGTCTGGCAGTCCCAGACCCCCGACAAGCGTTCACTGAATGTGTGTATGAGGCTCCTGCCACATGGCTAGAGAGACGAGGGGGCGGCCAGCAGGCCAGCAGCATACGGGAAGTATGTGAGAGTGGTGGAAACCGGGGCTCATGGGCCTGAAGGAGGTGGCGACCAGTGCTGGGAGCCCAGCAAGGCTTCCTGAAGGAGGGGAGGTCTCAGCTGGCCTTGAAGGATTTTCCCAGCCCCAGGAGAGGCTGGGTGGGTGGGTACCACAGAGGAGCAGGGGGGACAGAGACCAGTGCATCGCTACTGCCACACACAAGAGCTGCCTTTGGCTAAGTCTCGGTGCCAGCCATGTATATTCTATGAGTGAGGCAACTGAGGCACAGAGCAGTCACATAACCTGCCTGAAGTCACATGGCTAGTGGATAGCAGAGCCAGGAATCAAGCCAGGGCCTACAGCTCTTTAAATCATGTCTTTCAGGGGAAAATAAATTCCATCTCTGAGCTGAGTGGGAGGGGAGGGCAGGGAGCCTCACCTGGTTATAGCCTTGGGGACATGCCCTGCGAATGCAGGCAGCACGGGAATCATGCCGAAGGAGCGCATTCGGTCCAGGATCCGATGCTGGGAAGAACGGGAGGGGGAGCTGGTGAGCATGGCCCGACATGGGAGGCCCTCGCTCCCCCAGGGCACACAGTCCCCGGGGGTCTAATTAGGAGCCTTGAGACTGGCCAAATACCACCCTCCCTAGCCTGTGACTGTCCAGGACCAATTCTCTCCTTCCCTTCCCCTTAATTTTACCTGCAGGTGAAGCTGCTTGAGGTGCCAGGAGGGGGGCAGGGGGCCACCCCAGGTGTGCAGGTTGCCCATGCGTTCCCAGGCCAGGAAGGCAGGGCCAGTGAAGTACTCATCGATCTCTGACTGGGTCAGGCCCAAGGCCAGGTACACCTGAGGCGGAAGGCAATCCCCGCACATCAGCACATTCATCGCCTTTCCCCGACTCACTGACATTCACTCATCTCCTCTCTGTGCTGTGCCCTACGGTTACTAAGACAGAATGCAACCTCCGCCTGCAAGGAGCCCGCAGTCCAGGAGGAACAGATGCGTGAACAGGCGAGTTTATTAATGTCACCCTTGCAGCACAGGTGAGGTGAGGCACAAGGGGGCTCTCCCCAAACAAGGAGGGGGCCTTAGAAGGTTTCAGGGAGCAAGGCTGGCTAGAGATCAGCTCTGCGGGGAGCTCAAGCGGCCGCAGGTGCAGCCAGCCCTCGGGGCCCAGGGACACAGCTCCCAGGCCCCGCAAAGGCTGGAGGCAATGCTGCGCTGAGTGTGTTAGTGGGAGGGCTTGCCCAGATCTGCATTTCAGAAAGGAGTCCTGCTCAGAGGCTCTCGAGGGGTGCAGGGAGGGGGTGCAGGGCGAGGGCATGAGAGCCTGAATTAGGGCCAAGGCTAAGGATGGAGAGAATAAGTGAGGTCAAAGACTGCTGATGATACTCTGTAGAAGCAGCAGACTGACTGGACTTCTTAAGTGTGTACGGTAGGGTCCTGGGGCCCAGCTCTCAGTAAGCTCTCCTAGGGTTTGTCTCAGCCGTGGAAGCCCGTTTCTGGAGGGCTGAGGCCACTGTGCCCACCACAAACCCCCTGGAGCCCTTATTCTGTGTGCCAGACACTGTGCTGATGTGGGTGGGGGACAGGGATACCTGCAGTGGCCCGTATGGGGGGCACGTACCCGCTGCCAGATGGCCTCCTGGCCGCTCCAGGCCAGTGCCAAGTTGATGCCGTTCAGTGCCATCCAGTCAATCTCCTGTTCCCAGCGGGCCCAGTCCCACCACACGAAGGAGTAGCTGTGGGTGCACACGTTCTGGTAATAGCGGTACCTGTGGGCAGGGGCATGAGCTGGGGTGTGTCCTCAGCGCAAACAGGATGTCCCTCCCCCTGACATCCATCGTCCTGGAAGAGCTCAGAAGGCCGCCTGACTCCAGATCTAGCCCAGAGGGAGGGGTTCCAAATGTGGTCTCTCTACTGCTTCACGTGGGGATCCCCCCAGGCAGAAGGCAGAGCTAAGAGGTAGGAATGCGAGGTGAGCCCAGCCGGTGGGGCTCGGTGGTTGAGCATCCACATATGAGCCAGGAGGTCGCAGTGTGGTTCCCGGTCCGGGCACAGGCCCGGGCTGACCAATGATTCTTTCTCATCATTGATGTTTCTATCTCTCTCCCTTCCTCTCTGAAATCAGTAAAAATATGTTAAAAACATTTAAAAAAAAAAGAATGCAAGGTGATTCTTTCAAGAATGTACCTTTTACATCTAGGGCCACACCACCCTGAATGCTTCCGATCTCGTCTGATCTCGGAAGAATGTACTTTTTACTCTAAGAACTCAGTTTTTTTCTCCTTGGGAACACTCTATTGCTTCGTTGTGTTTCCGGTTCTCAGACCCTTGAATAAATCCTTATCATGTCTCTCCAGCCAGAGCCTCTAGACTTTTTTGTTAGTTGGAGAAGGCAGAGCGGGGATCTGAAGCCAGAGTTGCGCGACCCAAGGGTTAGCGCTTCC